CTAGTGAAATGTTTTGCCAGATCCTTAAAATAGCTGGAAGCCTGTCTCTCATAGTTCACCATGCCATCCTGCAAGCCAATAAACGTCCATACCAGCAGAGGAAATGCTTTTCATTGATCCTGTGTGTCGCTGTCGCATTTTGTGCATGCAGGAACTGCATGTCAGCTTAACCAATTAAGAGGGTGCTTGAAAAAAAGTTTTTTAAACCAAATGTTTCTTAAATTGGACAATGTTACAGAAATCTTCATGAACCCTTTGCAACCACAGCCAGATGTTTATAACTATTCCTCCGAACAATCGCTGACATGTACAGGCCACGCCCCTTTTTAAAACCCATTTTAAAAGGCCACACCCACTGATGGACCAGATGGAAACTTCAAAAAGTGATCAACTGTTGTCAGATTCCCTGAATGGCTTTAAAATCTAATCTCTGTAATTGTATGTAATCCCATTTAGTTGTTTTTGGTTTTGTTTAGATAATCCCATCTGGTAATTTAAATGGCAATTAAATTAAATGATATTCTGCTCCATCTCCCTGCTACTGCCCTGAATGTAGCTCTCTATCGAGTATCAGAGTCCCGCTCTCAGAATAATCGCCGTCCGTAGAGAAGCTGCACAAATTACCCGCAGGCTTCCATCTTTAGCTTCATCTCTAGATTTCAGATCATCTTCATCGGAGATGATGAAAATTCTAACAGATGCAGGTCTGCTCTGCTGGGTTTAATGGCTCCTGCTTAGAAATGTGGTTTTAAGCATCTGAACCATCATGTTTCAGACAGATTAATGGAGCCATTGTTCATCACTCATCCTCAGGATGTAATTATATCTCCATACAGGCTGGTTGTTTTCACCTTGTGGTATTTAAGGTTTGTTTGGTTTGCTTAGTTTCCTCTGCTGTGTCCAAGTTCTGGTACCGCGCTGAACTTTTACCCTGGCTGCCTTTTTTCTGCTGTCTGGATTGAGCTGATTTCTGAGCAGAAGTCATGGGTTCTTCTCTTCTTTCCAGATCATTTTGAGATGAAGCTTTTTTCTCTTTCCTCAACAGGTTTTACATGAAAACAGAACCTGTTTACTTTGTCATTTTTCCTAAACAGGTTAGATTATTGCCATGATGATGGTCTGAGAGGGAGTGGAGTCTCTTTGAGCTGCTTCATTGATCTGTTTCAGATCTAGAAACTAAAGCTGTTGATATGTTTGGTAATATTCTCTAAAGAAAAGCAGTCAAACGGTTCCCTGATATGATTAGTAGGAAAGAAAAGTCAGAAAGTTCAACAGTGGTCCAGATCTGGATGGACACAACGATTCTTTAAAGTTAGAATAAAATCTCCTTAATATCCAGTCAGATTTTTTTAAAGGTTTTAATTTCTTATTTCTTTATGCATCTATTTAAACCTGAAGCTTCATGCGGCTTCCTTTAACATTAACAGGCTTTCTCTGCATGTGAAGTTTACTGGATCTCTGGGTGCAGACCCAGAACTGACCTGCAGATCCACGGGCTGAAGGTCTGAACACAGACCCACCCCTCTTCCACCCCCCTCAGCTCTGTCCAATAGGAATCCAGGGATAAATGGGAGACAAAGGGAGAAAATCAGTGCAACACAGGGGAGGGAGGGGGGGAGGACGGAAAATATTCAGCAGCCCAGTTCCTGGATGATCAGGCTCAGATGGAGAAGCAGCAAACAGAGTTCTGGTCCAAAGATTTGGTTCTCTTTTCTTCAGATGATCCAGAATAATTTCAACATCTCACAGCTTCCATGTTCAATGAAACAGAATATCCTTTCTTAGAAACATCTCCTTATTTCTCACCTAAAGGCATCCAGAACCAAATAAAATAAAATCAACAACACAGAACTACAGATAACTAAAGAGCGTGGAGTCAGTGGATAGAATGCATTTGCCTCCACAGCACCACCATCGGGTTGTAACCAGTTTAAATTGAACTCAAAGCGTTAGTTTCTACCTAAAAACATGTTGAGAGTCTATAGAGGAACTAAGAGCTGTTCGGGTCTGTGGGGCAGCTTTAAAATGTAACACGGGATCAAAATACAGACTTTAGCTATCACTTAACGCTGGGAACATCAAGGTTCTGATGCAGCTACAGAGAAAGCAAGGTGGATGAACCAGAACTTAAACAGCAATTAAGCCGATAAATCCGTCTTCAATGCAGTGAATTTACTCTAATGTCCAAATCCAGACCGCTGGGAAACACTGAACAGCACAAGGATTGAGACGACCTACTGTTACCCATTGGTCTATATGACTCATGGGTCATATAGACTCATAAAAGACTAATAAAAATCATAAAAGTTTATGATGCATCCACCCATCTTCATCCATCCATCCACCCATCTATCCATCCATCCATCCATCCGCCCATTCATCCATCCATCGACCCATCTTCCATCCGTTCACCCATCTATCATCCATCCCTCCACCCATCTATCATCCATCCACCCATCTATCCCTCCATCCATCCATCCATCCATCCATACATTCTTCCATCCATCCATCCATCCATTGATCCATCTATCCATCCGCCCATCTATCATCCATCCATCCACCCATCTTCCATCCTTCCACCCATCTATCCATCCATCCATCCATACATTCTTCCATCCATCCATTGATCCATCCATCCATCCACCCATCTATCATCTATCCATCCATCCATTGATCCATCCATCCATTCATCTATCCATCGACCCATCCACCCATCTATCCATCATCCATCCATCCACCCATCCATACATTCTTCCATCCATCCATCCAACCATTGATCCAACTATCCAGCCGCCCATCTATCATCCATCCATCCACCCATCTTCCATCTTTCCATCCATCCACCCATTT